GCAGGGCGACAATCCGAAGAAAGTCGACGGCGTGCCTTGAGTTTGGCAAACTCAAAGCCGAGGTGTCGCTTCACACACACGCCCACTTTCTTGTGGCTCAACTGCAGGTTATGCAGGGAGGAACGCTCGCGGTGCTGTTGCACCCATCCTTCAAAGAGCGCTTTGTCATCTGTAGGCTTTCGCCAGGGGCAAGCACTACAGGTATTGTCTGCATTGCGAATACACGAGAGCTACCTCGTTGAGCACTTAGACGAGTGCGATAAATGTCTAAAGGAATATCTTGTGGGACCAAGAAACGAGCTCGAAGCGCTTTCCGTGTGGCAAGTTCACCATCCGCTCTGGCCGAGGGCCCGATGATGTGGACGCGTAACGGTCGAGTTACAGCGTCCTTCGCCTCCAAAGCAGGATCCGCAGGGCGAAAGCCATATTCCACACAAGGGTTAATGACCGACCGTGGATGTGCGCGCTCTAGAGTCGCCTTATGGGCAGCTTCAAGATGCCGCCTCTGTTCCCCGTCGAGGTCATTGGTGATTACTACACGTTCCTCAGTTGACGAGAAGTCAGGGAACGAACATGGGGTCCGCAAAGCGCGAGCAGGGCTCGTATCACGCTGCTGGTGCTGCTCGTCTTCCTCGTCATCACATGCAGGAAAAGAGGTGTCAGGCTCATAGTCGACCACATCCTCAGCGAGGCCACTCGGCACTGAAAGCGTGCGCGGAGCCCGACAATTCCAACAAATTGAATTGCAGTGTCTAACGGACACGCGAGCCTCGTTATGGCAATAATCGATTGAAACTGTAAATGTTCTCAATCTTAATTGGGGAGGGTGTAACTGGATTACACGAACCCTGTTATCAGGGATGTGTGTGTCACACGAGATTTGCTTGGTGTGACCACACCCAAACAAAAATACGGTACGGGACTAGGTAGCTAGTAGTTATGCATGTATTTAGAATTTACTATATATATTTAGTATATTTAGGAAAATCTAAACTATTAAAATTAGGATTAAAAAATGAAAATCAGTTTTGAATTTAAACAGAAGAGTCAATTAGCCTCGGGATGGCAATAATTACTTTTGGAATAAGCGGATTGCGATCCGCTATTTCATGCTGGGTTCTTGTAAAGAAAGAATGGTCGGCGACCTAAAGTACGCTTCCTCAAGCGCTTAGCTACGGCAGCCCCGCTGCATTCCCTATCGCCCATTTCAAGAGACTGTAGACTACTGCATGCAGTCGGCATTTCTCAGCTCAACCGAGAAGCACTTTGAGGACCGGAATTTATGATCGCCATTTTCTGTCTCATCCTGAGATCTGGACTATCAATCTCTGTTCATTTTCTGGACGGAAGCGTTCGCAACTTGGTGACCGCGCAAAAAGCACTTTTGTTTTTTGCCAGAGGTAAATTTATTACTCGTCAATGCTCTACAGCCGAGAAGTGTGTGGTACTAGCTCTTTCAACTTCCAGTCGACCCATGGCTCGTGGCATTCCATCCACATCATGTATAAAATGAGAGTGTATCTTGAATTCAGCGAGACAACGCTCTTCGTAGTAGTAGTCCGCAACGTTCGCCAGTCAGTTCAACACAGCCTCCAACTCTTTCACTAGATCTCCGTTACAAGACGCATATACACCATATTCATAATGTGCACCTCCAACGTCCGCCTTTGCGTGCTCCCGCTTGAAAATCACCCGTCGTACCATATTGCACGACGCTCGATATGGATTAGGACTTCTCATTGCTACACTACTCGGGCGGTTGACATCAACACCCAGCTACCTTGGCTGTGAGACCTATCTCTTCGCCTTTCATTACGGGGCGCTAAAGGTCACAGCCTCTATCAAGTACAATACAACCCAATTTTCCTCCAATATACCATCCTACAACGTTTCCCGGGGTGATTCGTCTACAAGGCCTGGGGAACAAAAAGCGTAACCTTTTCGTATTACCGAAGATGAAACATCTGCAGGGACTGCGGAGCTGCTCGGCGACCAATGGCTCTTTTTTTTAGCCTAGCTGAGGTCCATTGCTCTGGCGCGCTTGTAGAGCTTACTCCCTCCCGGCTCTTGCTGCACAAGAGTTTTGCAATAAATGCAGGGTCAACCGCTTTCTTGAATGAGGAAGGGTGGATGCGGAAGGTCTTGGTGTATGTCACTGCCGCCTGGCTTTAAATTAGAAGGATAATAAAGCAACGTGCAGTACCCATTTGTTTTGGCGTAACTTTTATGTCGCGATTCTAGTATCTTACATAATTTATCGATGCTGATAAATGAGAGTTGGTAGTAGTGTCGCTATAGTCAAAACTAGTCAAAAGGAATATACATGACACTTATGAGTCGACACCTACTTGATCATGCTGCAATTTTTTTTTAAATGGACCTTCTTGCCAGAGGTAGCAACTTTGCCGCTGTTTGTGATGTCCATATTGGACTTGTCGCCACGCCGGACGAGATTTATCAAATCTTTCATCTCATCCTTAGGACCGGCTCTAGACTTCAAGGTAGTCAGCTTACCATCATTAAGAAGTTACTTAGCCAAACGTTGGGACTACACCCGAACCGGCATACACTGTGTGATTGTTGCTTTTGATCTGCTTTGTGGTGTGCCTAAGTGACTTGTAAAATTTGAGAAACCACTTTCTTTCTATAATAGCTTTTTATTTATGAACTTGGTTAGATCGATAAGAAAAATTGCTGATGCAGCCTTTGAGATTTTGGCTGTCGAATATTTGGTAAACGACTTAGCTGGTGACTGTAGTGACCTCGAAACAGCCACACGCTAGTCTTAAACCAAAAGATTTGTTTGTATCGAATCAGCATGTACATACAAACACGAGAAAAAGTTTCATGCAAGAATAACCTGGTTTGAAGCCCCACATTTCATGGCGTGAGGTTTTGATCAAGTTTTGTAGACTTTGCTGTCAAATCTCACGACAAGAAATGAGAATTATCTGTTGATTTGCATACCCTACTCAAACCATGTGTCTGCTTGCGTGCCATGCGGACATTTACATATGGCATCGTGGGAAGCCTCTGCAAGGATGTGTACTATAAAATATTTCGCTTCTTCCACATACACCAAGCTATAACGACTAAGATGAAGCACATGAGATTGCTCAACTGCTTTATCTTGCTTTCAACTTTCGCGTTGCTCTCGTTTTACGACACTGAAGCGGTGGAAGTTCTCGCGTCGAATGCTGCGGGGGATGAAACTTATCAGAACTCGAGAAGACTGCTGTCAACAACTGCGACTCATGACCCCAACCTTCAAAAAGTAGCAACGGTTCTGGGAAGTGCGGAGAGTGCAGAGGGAAAACTGAAACCTATTGCGTCGCGGATATGGAATCGCATCAAGAACATAGAGTTGGGTCAGAAGATCAAGAAAATGAAGTTGAAGAAGAACCTTAAAGCTACTTGGCTATTTTTCATGTCGATTTTCACAGATTCTTCGCTCCTCAGATTGCTTCTGCCTAGTGTGTATTTGAAATACGCTGGCGACAAAAGCGCAGCTATCCAGTCTCTTTTTAAACAATATGATGTTGGAAGTGTGACATCGAACGTTTTTGCAAGCTCGCAATTCAAGAAGTGGTTTGCTGTTATAAGTAAAGCCTACAAGTCTGATCCTCAGAAAGGTTACGTGGAGATCCTGAAGGCTTTGATCACTAAGTTTGGCAGAATGGAAATATACATGTATTTGGCTGAGGCTTCAAACGTTCCAAGTATGCGAGAAATTGGCAAGGTGCTGGATGTTGCTCTGATCAAGGATTGGATAAGAATGGATGTACGATTCCTTTTGTCGAAGCAGGACTTCCAGGAGTGGTTCTTTTTCAGATCAAAGGAGGGTCGAGTAGCTGCGATTGAACTTCTGTTGCTTAAAATGAAGGAGAGTGGGAATGCAAATCGTCTCGACACTATGTTAGAATCAGCGAAAATAAAAGGCAGAGAAGATGATATGCTCATTGCCAGAATCGTCCGGTTGGTTCATTTGAAAAGTGCTGGACTGTCAGATGTAGAATTGTTTGAAAAGTCGGGCCTTGACAACCTTGAGTTAACGGTTTTGCTTACCACTGAAGAACTCTTCGACTGGTATGATCTCGTGAAGATGAAAGGAGGCGACCCTGTCAAGATTTTGCTTCCTAAGCTGTTACAAGAATCGTCTGAAGAAGATGTAGCCCTGCTTCTAGCAATTCTCGCCAAACTATACGACCACCCTCTTACAAAGACGACACTCAATGCGCTGCTCAGCATGTGGAAAGAAAGTAGCACCGTTAGTCAAGTCGCAAATCACCTTCACATCATCGACTTTCGTGCGAATCTTTTTGAAAGCGAGGAGATGTATGTATTTGACTCCTACATGCAATTATGCCACGGAGATGATCGATACAACTCGATGGATCAAGAACTGCGACGTCAATTTGGCGATGATTTCGATAAAATGCTAGTTGAAGGCGTAAAAAGCGGCAATGTGATTGCGAAGAATCTTTACGAGCATACCAAGAGTGTTTAGTAGTTAAATGTGTACTTATCACTCTTGCATTACGCTTGGAATTTCCTTCTTAGCGCATTGTACTAATTTATAAATATTAAAAAACACTTTTCAAAAAGATTAGTCGAAATTTCTTACTTGAGTCATTTTTGAGAGACTGTAGAATTTTTCTCAGTCTTTGTCTGCTATCTTAAGTGCATAATCGTCATGTTACAAGACACAATCAAAGCTGCTTTTAAGTGTGGGACAGAAGATGATAAATGGCATTTTCAAAATTTACTTACAAAAATACTTTACTGGTGCACAGTCCTGTTTGTGCACTTGCCTTTTGCGATGACTTGCAGACTTATTCTTTGACAGAATGTAAGAACTCTTTCCATAAACTGTGAACGTATTCAGTCAGATCGATGATCATTATTCGCAAAGTACTGTGACTAAATGCTTTTATCCTGCTCTAGTATCCCTTCTTATTAGGTCCGATGGGTGCCACTGGACAGCAGTGCGACCACAGATCATCCACGTGAAATGAGAAATCTTCTTATACGAACTAGCATAGCTTCAATGCTGCACAATTGGACAGGACTCTATATGGCATAAGGATTTAGGGGCAGCAGATCTCACTGACCCAGTTTAATGACTCAAAGTTGATGTCGAGCCCACTTGCGGCTTGCCCTCTAACATAAAGTATTGATGACCACGGCTTGGAACGAAGAATTGAAAAACCGTGACGATGAAGATTTTAAAAGACAGAGTGGTTGGTTTACGGACTTCGATGTTGTGCTGGACTATCCAGACCTAGTGCACTCTTTGTTGATAACTCGGGTGCTGGCGTTGGTAACGATATTCCTCCACTAAATCAGTCTGAACGACCTCCTCCAACGTTTGTGTCTTCTTGTGCATACTTTGAGCTCATCACTTCAATCACCGATGGTATAGTTATGTGATCATTATCGACAGTCTGAAAAAAAAAGTGTAGCTTCATGTTGATGTAAATTTATCATCAGTTTTTGGTTGTCTATTTCTCTTTACCAGCTCATTATGTACCAGTGTAACAACACAGCCACATGTCTGGTCTCCCTCGAAACTGTTTAAGGTTTCATACAGATACAGAAGAACACAGTAGTGTAGTACAGGCCATCATTACGGTCAGCTGCCGTCTGGCTGATTCATCCGATCCGTCTCAAATATGGATTTCAATGTTTAAATGAGATCTTCCAAGGCTTCTGCGCAAATCTGCAAGAAATAATACTGTACATTTGTACGAAATCTAAACTGCACTTCTGTGTGTTTTGTTACAATTTATGATCACCAAAGTACTGATTAAACATTGTAAGGAAAGGTCTATGGCTGATATCCATACGTCAAGCAATGCAGATAAGTTTATCGTTAAGCATAGCAAACGTATATATTAAGGATCAGTCAAATAGAATTCAACCTCAGTATGTCAGCAGAGCAAACTAAGTACCAAGTTCCTTGAATGTCTTTCGGTTCCGCCTCTGAGTGGAGCTACCAACTCGACCTTCGTGCGATGTATATACAAATTTCTGAGTAAAAGATTCGCTGTGTGAGGTACACGCAGTCCCGTTGCGCTTGGTGGCTTTCGTTGTCAACTTTACGATCGACTCGTAAAGGAAATGTATTTTTGTGACTACGGAACGTGAGATGTTTGAATGCATTTTTATTGGACCAACTGGATCAGCTTATTAAGCTGTTGGTCTTGAAGAAAAAAGGCAACTCGCGGCTACGCCTGGAGTCTACGGGAAAGCGCTAGTGGTGAGACACCTCATGAAGGTTCAATCAGTCGTCGGTAATTGCACAACGAGTAGATCAATGATGTTGAGCGTCCAATCCTTTGGAGGCAAGGACGGATCCAACTTCTTTCGGAAACTCGGAATGCTGCGATAGCCGTGCTCCAGGCGGAGCAACAGTGCATCGCACTTGGAGTCTTTAGGCTAGGAGGTATGAAATACCAGGCGTGCCCAACATTGGAATTTTGTATGTAACAGATATCGCAGGCCCTATGCTGCAGCGGGGTTGCCGTAGCTTTGCGCTATGAGGAAGCGTAAGTTAGGTCACCGATCTTTTGTTCTATACTCAGAACAAGTACGAGTCTAGCGGATCACAAGCCGCTTACTCCAAGAGTAATTACCGCCTTAACCCAAGGCTAATTAAAATTTTGGC